TGTTGTTGGTAAGTGCCATTGAGTCTGTACCAACTCATAAAGACCCTGTGCAGGGTTTGCAAGGAGTGATTGGTGGGTTTGAACCATCAATCTTGTAGTTATCAGTCCAGTGCTTATCCACACCAGGACTCCATGTGTCGTTGTTGTTGTTGTTTAGAGTCATCAAGTTGGTTCCAACTCACAGCAACCCTGTGTAGGGTTTCTGAGGAGTGACCTTGTGGTTCAAATTGACATTGCAGTCCAGCACATGAACCAGCAGCGCCACAACAGGGCTCTATCTATCATCCATCTATCTATCTATCTATCTATCTATCTATCTATCTATCTATCTATCTATGTCTATTATATGAGAAATGCATCATAAATTTTCTCACCTGGATACTAAATAAGTTATAGTAGAAAATAAATCCTACGAACAAAAGATAAAATGTTTTCATGAGGAATTAAATCTATGTGGTATTTAAATAGCAACAAGGGATATGTGTTTACTAAACATGTAGTGTCAAATACACCAATGTTAATCCAAATCTGCTCTTCTTTCTTTCCATATTTTAAGCTTTGAGTATATAAGACTTGAACTGTTTCTCTTTGTTTGCTAACTAGTTGAATTCCAGTGCTTCACCCTTAAAACTGTATGTTCTAGCAGCTGGTATTAGTATGTGGGGGAAGGGACCCAGCAAGAGAAAGAGAAACCACTCTTTCTTCTTTAGTAGCTGCCAAGAAACAATAACATACTTCATGTAAAATTGTGCTTGCAAATGTTATTTATAACAAAGAAGTCTTATGAGGCACCCACATTTCAGAGACTGTTGCGACGTTCTTAAAGTAACTTTGAACCTTCACATTCTGATTGGTTTCTTACTAATATATTCTTCTAGTTGTTGTTTTGCTTCAGGGCCATGGACTTGATTTCACCTTGTAACAAACATGCAAAAGGTTTCCAAGGCTATAAATCTTTTCAAGAACAAAACTCTCATCTTTCTCCTATGGAGCGGCTGGTAAGCTGCAATCACTGACCATGTGGTTTGCAGTCTAGTGCGCATCTTAAAGAGCCACTGCACTCCCCATTCTCCTAGTTGTTGTTGCTATTAAGTGCTATCCAGTCAATTCCATCTCATAGAAATCCTGTATAGTTTTCCAAGGAGCAGCTGCTGGGTTTGAACAATCAACCTGGCAGTTAGCAGTCCAGTTCTTATCCTACAGCGCCACACAAGTTAAATCTCCATTTCTAAGACTAAGACTCAATGGGAATACACGAGTCTATGCCCTCTGATTGGTAATCACTTTCAACCCATAAGGGGAAGTGACGGAAAAACAGCAATGAAGCTACGAGGTAAGCCCTACAATGTTCAAGAGACTCCTGTGAACCAGGGTGGAGACCTGCTTGGCCTGCTTGGGCCCAGAGTCAGTGACATAACCACAGAGGACTAGAATGGAGAGTGAAGCATCCAGCTGATAAGAAGAGAAGGCATATGCATAAGAACATCCACACTTGCAGATAATACCCACTTGACCTGGACCTGGCTTCAATGATCAGAGCTCAACTAGAAGAAGAAAGAAGAGGAAAAAAAGAGTAATCTGATACAATTTGATGAACTTGACCTACACCTATGAATGCAGTATGAATGCAGTATCTCAAAAGAGGGAACAAATCTTTACAGCAAGGATCATTCCCATGCCCTCCATACACAGAGTAGACAGGGATGAACAACTTAGACATTGGCTACCCAAAATGGGGGGGGAGGGGGGGTTCAAAGGCAAGAAGGCTTACAAGCTTTCAAGAGGGAGCTTAGATCCAGAGGGCGTGGAACAAGGTAGAATCTCCACTAAGTAGTATCCAATCTGTCTGGGTGGGGCTGATGAAAGAAGATGGGGATAGGTGGTACAATGGTGAATAATTGTTATCAGGACTGACTGTGAGGGTTGGAAATGTAAAGGTGGACGTTTTGTAGCAAAAGGAGGGGAGTGATTGACTATGCAGTCCAGGAGCCAAGGTCCCTGGAACCATCAAGGCAGAAGAGCAGAGTTAAGGCCCCCTTCTAGAGAAACAGTGACACCAAGAGATGACGACATGGAGAGATAGAGCGGCTGGGGACTCTAGACCCAGAGAGGGAGAGGGGCTGTGTGCTGATGACCAGGGGGCAGGATTGCAGGGGATACCCTTTGGTTGGCTGATGATGCATGGAGGGGATTGTAACCATAGCAATGAAACAATATATGATAGGGTGAATGTAAAGCTAATGTTCTCCCATGTAAAAAAACTATAACATAATTCACAATAAAACACTTTTTTTTTTTAAATCTACATTTCTGGTTTTTGAAGAGCAATTGTTCGCATGAATTTTCTGTTAAACCATGTAGGATATGATGTTTCCTTCTTCTCTCACTACCCAGAAAAGTAACAAAACTGATTTTTGTTAGATATCTTATACAGTTTAAAAGTAACTATTTAAATCAGCAAAGGCCACACTGAAAATTAAACAAAATAATTTGAATCTTAGTTGATCGCATTTGCATGATAACTTATAATCATGATACAGGGATCTTAAAAATACTATCAAATATAAATGTAATTCAACTCAACAAATATTTATTATATACATATGTGCAAGTATTAGGAGCTCTAGTGGTGATATGGGTTAGATATTGAGCTACTAATTGCAACGTTAGCAATTCAAATCCAGCAGCAGCTGTGCAGGAAAAGGCAGGGCTGTCTCTGTAAAGATTAACATTCTCTGGAACCCTATATAAAGTTGTTATGAGTCAGAATCGATTTTATGGCACTGGGTATACGCAAGTAGGAAGGGAAAAACCATGAGTCAATCAATTACACGTGTTATATAAAAATCTGTACAACAATGATTCCCAAATAGTCTATCAAATAGAATATTACCATTACTATATTGTTGTTGTTGTTAAGTACCATGGAGTCCTTCGGACTCATAGTGACCCTGCACAGGGTTTCCACGGTGGTAAACCTTTACAGGAGCAGAATACCTCATATTTCTCCTGAGGAACCACTGATATGAGTAAAATAAATTCATATATTTAATATATTACATATGTTATACATTACTTCACATTTAATTTTTATAACAACCAGAAGTGAGACGCAGAAAAATTTAATAATTTCACAGTAAGTACACCAAGAGACAAAGGAATGATTCACAACTGGAAAGCAAAAAGGAAGTAGTTGTTGTTAGGTATCATCGAGTCAGTACTGACTCATATTGAACTGATGCACAACAGAATGAAACAGTGCCCGATCCTGTACCAATCTCACAATTACTCCTGTGTTTGAGCACACTGCTGCTGCCAATGTGCCAATCTATCTCGTTGGGGGTGGGGGAGGGGGTGTCTTCCTCTTTTTCACAGACCCTACACTTTAACAAGTATGATGTCCTTCTGCAGAAATTGGTCTCTCCTGATAATATGTACAGAGTATGAGACACGAAGACTGGTTATCTGGCTTCTAAGGAGCATTCTAGCTAGCTATTTATCTTCCAACACAGATTTGTTTGTTCTTTTGGCTGTCTATTATACTTGCAATATTCTCCTCCAACACCATATGCATATGCATCAATTCTTCTATAGTCTTCTTTATGCACTGTCCAACTTTCACATGTATATGAGGTTACTGAAAATACTAAGTTCTCAAAGTGCCAACTTTGTTCTTGAACACTTTAAAGAGGTCTTGTGCAGCAAGAATGTCCATGGGTTGAATTAGGAAAAATAAAGTCTTTGACAACTTTAATCTTATCTCCATTTATATGATGTTATTTATTTGTCCAGCGGTGAAGATTCTGTTTTCTTTACATTAAGGTGCAACCCATACCTAAGGCTGTGTTATTTTATCTTCATCAGTAAGAATTTTAAGTTCTCTTTGCTTTCAGCAAGCAAGTCTGTATCATCTGCGTATCACAGGTTGTTAATGAGTCTTTCTCTAACTCTGATACCACATTTTTCTTCATATAATCCAGCTTCTCAAATATTTGCTCAGCATACAGATTAAGTGTGGTGAAAGAATACAACCCTGGCACACACCTTTCCTAATTTGAAACTACTCAGCGTTCCCTTGTTGTGTTTGAACAAACTGCCTCTTGGTCTAAGTACAGGTTCCTCATGAGTAAAATTAAGTGTTCCAGAATACACCCTCTCAGCAATGTTGCCCATAGCCTGTCATAAGCCACACAATCGAAAATCTCTGCATAATCAATGCAGTACAGGTGAACATCTTTCTGGTATTCTCTGAAATAACAGAGAAGGGGAAGAATTATATCATAATGGAAAGTGACCTCAGAGTCTCTGAAAAAGATATCCCAGGCCTCTAAAGTTCAGATGTACTCTCCTCCCAAAGGGAAGGTATTTCCCTAGTTATACACCATTCTCTAATTACATGTTAATTTTAAATTAAAAAGGCTTACCTGAGGTGAGAGAAATTTTTCAATGCGCTTGGTTATAAAGCCTTTCTCCAATATGGAGTTGACTGATGGTCTATCCTTAGGATTTCTTTTAAATAACTGAGAGAGTAAACTGCGGAGATCATATGAATAATGCAAAGAAACAGGTGGAAAAGATCCAGATATTATCTTCAGTACCAGGTTTTTCATGTTGCCAGCTTCAAACTAAAATCCAGAAAATAAAATAATATACATGAATTAAACTAGTAATGTCAACAATGAGAAGTAGTTCTTTTTCTCTCAATATAGTAGACAAATATAATCATCTTCAAATTCTTTAATCACCTTTATGTTCTCTAGAACAAGGTCATTTATAACATATTCCAAAGAGAATATTGTTGTTAAGTGACATCAGGTCAATTCTGACTCAAACCCTGTATAGGTTGATGGTTCAAACTCAGAGGAGTGGCTGGTGAGTTTGAACCACCAACCTTGTGATTGTCAGTGTAATCCTTATTTTAAAATGCCACATAATAAAATGTCTATGGTATAATAAAAACAAGAAATTAACTATAGAACAAAAAGTATTTTGTAAAAACATAATACATAAAAGTCGTAATTCTCTAAATTACTTTCCACTTTAACACTGTTCATTATTATTATTTTGTGTGTGTCATGCTCCTTAAAAGTCAAGTAATCAGGCAAATATTTGAAGGGTGTATAACAACTACACCTACTAGAAATATATTTCAAAATGAAAACAATATAAACTCTAATCAAAATTCAAAAATTAAAAAAGGAACAGTTTAAAATCTAAAGAAAATATGATTTTGAAAGAAAGTAAAATTAAGTTTTTGACTTTTCTGATTAAAAAATGTTCAAATGGTTATGTACTACATTAATTAAGAGAGCAAAACCATGTTATGAATTATAGCAATTACAAAAGTGATTATATAAATTATTAAGAGTTCTGGTAAATGGTGAGCTCTTCCTAGTACATATTAAATGCAATTCCACTTTCTAAAATTATTGCGTATATTTCATTCTTCTACGAACATCTAACCACCACTCATCTGTCAGTTTGTCGTACTGTGATGGCTTGTGAGTTGCTGTAATTCCAATAGCTATGCCACCAGTATTTTAAATACCAGCAGGGTAACCCATGATGGACAGGTTTCATATGAGCTTCCAGTCAAAGACACACTAGGAAGAAGGAATGATGAACCACTTCCGAATATTTAGTCACTGATAACCTTATGAATAGCAGAGAAACACTGTAAGATATAGTGCTGGAAAATGAGCCCCTCAGGCTGAAAGGCACTCAAAATGCGACTAGGGAAGAGCTGCCTCCCCAGAGTAGAGATGACCGTGATGACACAAATGGAGTAAAGCCTGTGAGAGAAAAGCCTGCGGGACCTTCATTTGCTGATGGGACACAACTCAACATGAAGAGAAACAGCTGTAAGCATTCACTGAAAATAGAAACATGGAATGTATTAAGTATGAATCTGAGAAAATTGGAAGTTGTCAAAAATGAAATGGAATGCATAAACATCGATATCTTAGGCATTAGTGAGCTGACATGTTCTGGTACTGGCCATTTTGAATCTGATGACCACATGGTTTACTATGCCGGAAATGACAAATTAAAGAGAAATCCTGCTGCATTCATTGTCAAAAAGAACATATCCAGATCAGTCATGAGGTACAACCCTGTCTGTGATAGGATAATATACATGCGCCTACAGGGAAGCCCAGTTAATACCACTATTATTCATATTTATGCATCAACCACTAAAGCCAGTGAGGATGAAATAGAAGAATTCTACCAAAATCTTCAATATGAAATTGTCCAAACATGCAATCTAGATGTACTGATCATTACTGGTGTTTGGAATGCAAAGGT